TATATTTAAAATTTTTGAATCAAATAACATATTAATTATTTTTATTCTTTATAGTTTTATTTGGTGTTGGTAATGATATTTATTATTTTGCTCAGTTGGGAACTCTTGATAATTTCATCATTATAGAACATACTTTTTATTTGTTCTTTCATTTTGTCTTTTGTAATTTATTATTAATATCATTATTAGAAAAATTGATAATAGTTGAACTAATAAATTCAATCACTTTAAATTTTTTTTCTGAAAATAAATAATAAATTTATCATTTTTAGCTCTGTTAATACAAAAAGTATTATAAAGACATAGAAAATTAGCAGTATTGCTAAAGTTGAAAATTATATTATAGGCTTATACATAGTGATAGTGATTTGACCTATCTAAAAAATCACCACTTGGGTCCCTGTCAGTAAGCATGTGTTATCTGAGTGAAAATCAGGTTAGCTATTCACCTGAGTGACCTAGAAAATTTTTTATCTCCCAAAAATTGCTTAGTAATTTTGACCTGTCAGGTGGACATAAGTCACCTGAGTAAAAAAATATTACCTATCTGGATGGTGTATTAGCTGTTTTAGAACAACTAAAAAAATTGCAGACAATTAAGTCAATAAGCTACCAAGTGGGAATCAACATGTATCTGACTTTGGCCAAACTCAAATTCTGTTATCAGCAATTTTTTCAGTTGTTTTAGAATTTATAAAAAAAGCTGTTAAAAAAAAATTTATTTTAGAAACTCACCTTGCTTGTATTTTTGTTCGCTGACTGTCTACAATCTGAAACTCCTATAGAAGCCTTCATTTCTCTCATGAGTTGGTGACCTGCAGGTTGACCCACCCATTCTTACCCAAGCTATATATCTCAACTATAGTTGTTAGATGAAACCATGTGATAATAATCATCATCTGTCATAAAATACCAAAACTTAAAAATTTAATCTAATTTTACATTTAGCATCACATAGTTTCATCTAACAACTATAATCTCAACTTGGATTAACACTATCGAGGTATATTTGATCAATTTTGGAATTATACATCAAGAACATAGTCAATCAAAAAAGTAACTGATGTGCACGAAAATCATGTAATTATCTATCAGATACTAAATCTGAATATTGGATATCTCATCAATTGCAAAATTTAACAACTCCGATCCATTCCAACAGAATTTGATTAATGTGACTAAGTCACGAACTTTTATTATTAACTAACAAAACAAAATTTCACATTTGACAAAAATTTGAAAATAAAATCAAAAATTGTAAAACTATTCATAAAAAAAAAACCCTCCACCCAACTACAATCAACAAACAGTTATGATGCTATCATTTTCGAAATCAAAATCCAGATCTAAACTGCCACTTTTTATTATTTCTAACTTTTTCTCTATTTTGAAATTAATTTCATTGCTATCAACATTCAGAAAATTTAGAGTTGTGTTTACTTGAAGTGCATCTGCTAATTTTTTTCCCACTTCATCTCCAAGTTGATTATATGAAAGATCTAATGAAGTCAAAGTACTATTTTTGTGAATAGCAGTTGCTAATACTTTACTACCTTTAAACCTAATTTGATTTAAGTAAATATCTAAAGTAGTTAATATATTATTTTTGCAAAGAGCATTTGCCAGCTCTATTCCTACATTAGAGTCAAGCTTATTAGATGAAATATCCAAATAAGTTAAAGTATTGTTTTTGATAAGAGCATTCACTATTACTTTCCCTCCAAAACCAAGATTAATATTTGTAAGATATAAAAAAGTTAAAGCATTATTGTTATCAAGAGTATCTGCTAGTGGTTTTCCAATATTGGATCCAAGTTTATTACTGGAAAAAATTAAAGTAATTAACATATTATTTTTGCAAAGAGCATTTGCTAATACAATTTCACCCAAAGCATCAAGATCATTTCTTGAGATATTTAAAAATATTAAAGTGATATTTTTAAGAAGAGCATCTGCTAATGCTTTTATGCCTTCAGAACCAAGTTGGTTAAGATAAAGATTTAAAGTAGATAACTTAGTATTTATGCAGAGCACATTAGCTAAAGCTTTTCTTACATCAGAGCCAAGCTAGTTATTTGAAAGATTCAAATGAATTAGACTGTTGTTCTTGATAAGAGTATTTGCAATTTCTTCTTCAAGAGAACCAAGATTATTATTTGAAAGGTTTAAATTTATAATTTATTTTTTCATAAAAACAATGAAAGTAAAAAACATTTAATAGCTGCTACAGAATAAAAATTAGTTTCAAATTCTTCAAGAAAATGTGACACTCCTTAGTTCAAATACTGACTGTCAACAGATATAATAAAATTTGTATATTCAAATAGTAGCATTGAAGAATTTGCTGGAAAGTTAATTTTAAATAGGACTAACAGTGCTAGTTCATCAGCATTCAGATCTAAAAGACATATTTCGTAATACATTTATTATTAAAATGTGAAGATCTCTATAATATTGGACCAATAAGTCTACACCATTTACGGTTTATAAGAAGGCATGAAAATAAGAACCTTTTCTTTTTTAGAAATTCAAATATTTTTATAAGGGTTTCATTCGATAAGTGTTTGATGGAACTCATTTTTTGTAAAGAAAATAGTTTAAAGGTTAAAATTTCTTTCAAGAGAATTTCACGTTTGGGTTCTTTTCAATAATAGAGTTCTAAGTCTGGTTTTACCTAGTTTAACATGTGATATTAAAACAATCTATTTTGAAAAATAAATTTTTTTTGAAATATATACACATTTAATATCATATATACTACTATTGTCTATTTATAGTGCAGTAAACTTGTATTTAACCAGTTTTCAATAGATGAAAAAATTATAATATCGATATGTATTTGAGTTTATATTTATATATAGTACAGTATTTAAAATAAATTTAATTTGAATATGCACAATACCTTGTACTGCAATCACATGATTTATTTGTAATTATGTGAAGGTCATGAGAACATTATTTATTTAAGATTTATCTTAAGATAATAGAATGAAGCAAAAACGATGCTTGGTTCTGTGACTTAGCAATTAGAGCAATTTTTAAAATAAGTTTTTATTAGATATATTTTGTTCAGAAATCACTATATTATTTACTATCATGTGCTACATAAATAATTTGGATAATCTCCATTTAAAAATTTGAATGAAGTAACAAAATTAAAATGTCTTCAAAGTTTGAAAATCAAAGATTAACAAATGAACTCAATAACTTGAATTGTATGATAAAAATTGTAATACTTTTTTGTAAGGTTATTTGATATTTTTATCATATATATATATATTACAAATACAACTTATGATCAATAATTATGCTAAATATAAACTGGTGAAGAATATTTTAAATTTGCGAAATAAAATTGAAAGATTAGAAATTGAAAATCAACAATTGAAAAAATTAGAAATTGAAAATCAACTATTGGAACAAAATAAAAATTAGTAGCAGTTTACATCTCTATTTAAAAATTATTAATTAAGAACCCTTTTAATCTTTATAAATTTTGTAGTTTTAAATTCATGCTTTACATATTTGTGTTTGCTATCATTACAATATTTATTGGTCTTTTACTTGAGTTCTATATTTTGCATTTTTTGCATTTGCTATTGGTATCGAATTTGTAGTTAAAATAAATAATGTTAATTTAAAATATTTTAATAAAAATTATCAATATAGAACTATTTTCTTTAGACTGAAATATTAAATATATTGGAAAATAATGTTTATTTAATTTTTAATTATATCTGTACTTATCCAATTTTAGAATTGTTTGATTATGAGTTGCTTAGAACAATTCATTTCGAATAGGCATGAAATAATGTGTTTTTAAAAAATAATGTGACAGTACTATATGTACTGTATATACTGAACACTAAAATTTTTTAGATTTCATATAAATGGCATCACTAGCTTAGAAATATTATGCTAAACATGTTTAAAAGCTTTGTGTCCGATTATTTAAATTAGGAATAGAACAATTAATTTCATTAAATAAGTTTTACTAACTTAAACAAATAACAATTATATCTGATATTAAATCATATTATTTAATTTTAATTATATAAAATTTACTTGTTTATTTAAATTTCTTTATTATTTAATTTTGAAATTATTTCGATTACATGCTTAGGATAATCTATTTCGAATTCAGATAATTAATATTGATAAAAACTTATCTATCAGCATGAAATAATGTGTTTTTCAAAATAATGCCTCATGCTCATATTTACTATACATGAATTCAAAATTTGGAGCCAGTATATTTGTCAGCCATTATGTCTAAACCTCTAGAACCTTTTATTTTTTCATTAAAATTACTTTAACAAAATAAATAATAAAAAATATAGAGCTCTCAAAAAAATAATGCATACTACTCATGACTTTCTGCATTATTGCTTTTCTTTTCAAGAAAAATTATTCAAATCATTCCTGGTTCCATTTACATGATGTCAGTTAGCTATTACCATTAAGGTTTGCAATACTGTATTATGCTTTTAGATGCAAAAATGGTATTTTTTAAATTAAAAATATAACAACTGATTTGTTAAATTCATTTTACAAGCTTAATTATGATGTTTATTGTTAAAAAAAGATTATTAATAAAGTTTATAAGATAAAAGACAGTAAAACTTTATTTGAACATTTTTTATATTAAGCAAAAAAACAACCAAAAAAAAAATTATGAAAAATTATAAACCAGCTATATTATATTTCTAATCTTTTGAGTTAATTACATTCTTCTTTTAAATTTTTGACTATTTTGTTGATTATTTCCGCCTCTAATTCATCTAATTTATTTTGAATTTCTTGTTTTTCCTTTTCATATTTATTTTTTAATTCATTTCTCTTTTTTTGTAATTTATTTATTGTATTTATTAACTGATTGCGATCTTTAACTATCTTGTTGATTTTATTTTCTAATTGTTTTTTTCTATTTTCGGATTCTTTGTTTTTGTTTTTTAACAAAGTTAATTTTCTTAAAAGTTCGTTATATTGTGCTTTGAGATTTATTTTATTATTTCTGAAATGTTAATAGTAGCTTCAAAGTCTTTTATAGTGTCTTTAAGATTTTTAATTGTGTATTTGAATTTGGCTTTTTGTGATTCAAGGATAATTTTTCTTTCATTAGAAGCAATGAGCTTTTCTTTTAAATTGGTAATATCCTTTTCTAAATCAGTGTATCTTGTTTTTAAATTGCTTAATTCATATTTTAACATATTATTTTCAGTTTCAAAAAATTTCGCATTTTTCCAAAGGTTATACTAGAAATAATATAAACAGTTTATGTTATTTATTGTTTTTTTTTTTTTATAAGTGAAAACTTTAAAACTTACTTTTTCAAAAATCTTGACATTAATTGTTTCAATTAGGTTACTAATAATAGTGCTATTTGTATAAAATAAAATTTATTAATGCAAAAAAATAAATGTGTAAACATATTTTATATGTAATATGTACCTTTTGATGGTACCAAAAAAGAGCTAAAATTGATAATAAGATGATTGCAGTTAAAATTTTTTTCAAGTTTTTATATTTTTGATCATTATTGCATAAAAGGATATTTTAATTGTTTGTGTTTGGCATTGTCCTTTATTGAAGTATGTTTTTGATTGTAAAAAATTAGTAGAATTAGTAGCTACAGGTTGTTGTATTGGTTTTGGAACTTTAGTGATTAACTGTCATTCATTTGATGGTTGCTCATCAGATGAATAATTATCAATTTGGTTAGTGATTAACCATCATTCATCTGAAGGTTGCTCATCAGATGAATAATTATCAACATCAATAGTGATTTGGTTTTGGAATGTTGAACTGCTTGCTGTCAGATCTAGATCATTGTCAAATTCTTTAGAATTTATAGAGAATCTTTTGAATCATGAACTGCTTGAACTGCTGTCAGAGCTGGAATTATAAACTTTTAGATTATAAACTGCTTGAACTGTTATCAAAGCTAAAATTATAAACTTTTGATTCTCGATCTAGTAATGTTAAAATAAATATATTTATAATAAATAAAAGAAAATTTATTAGAAAGAATAAGAATTAATTTATACTATTAGCATAAATTTGTGCAGCCTTAAAAACCATGGTTGAAAATTTATTTTCTTCTTTAATCTTTCTAAGTTCTTCATAAATCTTCCATTGATTAAAAAATGAAACACCTTGCTTTAAAGAATCAGGAAATTTTTTTTTATAATATTCATATTCATATTTTGATAAATGATTATCTGGAACTTAATTTTACGAATATGACCCATTTAAATAAGTAAAGATTTTTGAATTTTTTTTTTAAAAAAAAGATCGAATGCACAGACTGACTTATAATACAGTTTCTTTGTATATGTGTTCAATAAATTGCTGATTGCTATTCGACAAATCACATGAAATTTCATACTTCAAAATAACTTGCGCATGTGCAATAATCTATTTTGACAATGTAAGAGGTCAGTCAATAGATTTGTTGGTTAAAAGTTTTAATGAAATCTCATGTAAGATAATCTTTATTTTTTATATATAATAATTCTAAAAACTGTGTATTTCGGTGTCTAATCACAATCATCTACTGCCAAGACCAGCAACTAAACTTTTTTGTCACATGTTATTTTACTTCAAAGGTATACAAAGTTTTGACAAATCTTATCAATTATATAATCTGATAAAAATCATGTGATGCTCCAAAAAAAGATCAAAAATTCGTATAGACTATGACAATTGATTTCTTTTGAATTATACAATATTGATATTAAATGAATTTTTTATATATAATTGGTTTTTAAGTTAATATTGTAATTCCGAATATATCCAAGCCAAATTTGTACTAATTTATGTTAACTTAAAAAGCCACTCTAATTTAAAGTTCAATTCATTATAGAAATTAAATGATTTTCATATAATTTACTTTAATCTATATATTTAAACCTTTAATGTATATATAAATCAAGTCACCAAAATTAACAATACCAAAAAACCTGTTCTTGTAATTTTTATATTACAGATTATATAAAATAAGCCAAATAAAGTTGCAGATCTTATTAAAGAATTATTAATATAAATCGATTATTTTATATTTGCTTTGACAAATTACGTGTAATTTCCAACTTGATTATAGTAAAATATCATATGCTACATATTGGCAGTTAATAAATTTTGAATCATCTTTACTGATAGTAATTGTGTATAATTTTATTTGGCTTGCGTGATGCTTTAAAAAAAAATCAAAAATTAACTAAGTAATTATCTTTATAA